TGGGCGTATGGGTACGGAGCCCCTCTGATGACATGGTCAAAAAAAATTTTTTATTGTGGCCACGAAGTAGTATTTCGTACACACAAAGTAGTATTTCGTGGCCACGCAATAAGTATAACGTGCGCACGAAATACTACTTCGTGGCCACGCAATAAGTTTATCGTGCGCACGAAATACTATTTCGTGGCCACGCAATAAGTTTAACGTGCGCACGAAATACTTATTAATAATATTAACATCATTCCTGGACAACTGGGTAAGCAAATCGAGTGCGCCTTCTCTAAGGTCTAAGGCGCGCTCGATTTACTTACCCAGTCGGTCTCCGCCAGTCACGTGACATTTGTTGCTAAGACGCTATTTTAGCTGGAAAAGGCGTAGTGTAAACAACCGCAGCATAGCTAAACGAAGGACTAAAGGCCCGTTTACATAGCAGCCTGTCCAAGATAAGTAATTACAGTTAACATAAGCCTGAAAACAGGGGCGGATTTATGGATATTATTAATAAGTATTTCGTGCACACGTTAAACTTATTGCGTGGCCACGAAGTAGTATTTCGTGCGCACGTTATACTTATTGCGTGGCCGCGAAATACTACTTCGTGCGCGCGAAATACTACTTCGTGGCCACAATTAAAAAATTTTTTTGACCATGTCATAAGAGGGACTACCTCTTGTATTTCTGAAATGCATTATTCACAGCCCTCCTAAACACAGCACAGATTGTTTTTGTTCTTTCTTTCAGACTTTTCTATGCTCTGCTACTGTAAAGTACAGTTATTGCTGTACAAACCAATAAACTTTCCACTAGTACTTGCATTTTGAATCTGAATTTAATATATATTTTTCATTGAAACGATTTACTATTAAAACTTCTATTTATTCAAGCATTATTTTCATATACAGCAAATAGGATTTAAGTGAACTTTCTTATTTACAACACTCATTCCATGAAAAACTGTTTTTGATAATCAGTCCCCTCTTCTGTTTGCTTAGTTAGGATTTTCTGTTGCTGATACTTTGCCCATTAAGTTGTTGTGATTATTCTGCTGCTACCTTCCCTCACACCAGTTTTTTATTTATTAATTTATTATTTAAGCCTAAGAGGGATTTATTTAGGGTATGAATAAAACGTTCACATGAAAAGCAGGTGAAAAGAATTTAACAATTTTTTTTTACTGGTCATTTTATATGTTTGAACATTTAGAATAAAAAAAAAAAAAATATATATATATATATATATAAATGTATGTATATATATATGTATATATATATAAATATATAAATGTATGTATATATATGTATATATATATATATATATATATATATATATATATATATATATATATATATACATATACATACATACATTTATATATTTATATATATGTATATATATATGTATATATGTATATGTATATATATATATATGTGTATATATATATATATATATATATATATATATATATGTATATATACATATATATACATATATATACATACATTTATATATTTATATATATGTATATATATATATATATATGTATACATATATATATATACATACATTTATATATTTATATATATGTATATATATATATTTATATATATATATATATGTATATATATATATATATATATATATATATATATGTATATAGCTCCCTCTTGTCAAGTAAATGTACACAAAGAAATATAAATAGGAAATGTCGGGAGATCAAACATCCCAAGCGGGAGGAGGACTTGTCATAACCCTCGTGGAGACTTCTTTGACAGCATTGTCTGTCCTCTAGTCTTCATCCATCTCCATGGTAACCAATGGCTATGTTAGCTAATAGAGGACATAGGTGTACACCTATTTGATAATTACTTTGGAAATTAGCTCAGAGATGCACAGCACTTTCTGGACATGCAGAGCACAAGCTACTGATTCATCACTTGAAAAGAAGGATGCAACCCACTAGTGGTTGCTATCCAGATCTTAAAGGCACCTTTTTGAATACCTTTCACATTATGGCAATCAGTGACAATCCCTGAAGATAATTGGGAAGACCACATTTTCCTGACTGATTAGGTCACACTTCCTATTAAGAAGAGATAGCTTATACGTATCTCTTTTAACTTATCAAGTCTAAGCTCTTGTTTGGTACACTTAATAAAACATTTTTTTTTCCTTTTGTCTAAACATGGCTTTTCAGTTACTCTTTGCATTGTCAAGACCAAAATAAAGGAGATCTTAATAACACCCATCTTCTTCAAAATACTTTGCACAATATAGTTGCCACACTGCATCACAGTTAAGAGCCTCTATATTTCTTACAATTCAGTCTTATTATGTTTCCTTTGTACTTGCTTTTAAGAGCTTTTCCTTTTAACGGATTGAGTCCCCTCCAATTTATTCAGATAGCCTGAAATGTACTTCTTTTATGGGACCATTTTATTTGAATAGTCTGTCTAGATTAAAAGTAATATGAAGTTTGTGGCTTAACATGCAAATAGCAGTTCATCAATATATATATATATATATATATATATATATATATATATATATATATATATATATATCTCATCACCTTGTGAGCCGTATATAGTTACATAGACTTTGAATGAGGTTTAGCCTTAAAGCTTTAACCCAGGTAATTACCTCCTCAACCCTCAGCAATGATGCTAATCCACAGAGAATAAAGTGAGAGATGCTTACCAGAGAAGCCTCATTAAATATTTACTTTGTTTGGCCACCATCTACAACTTGCACAACAAGCACCCACAGATCGTTTGGTGTCCTTTCTTCACAGTTCTTGCCATGCGCTGCCGTCACGTCTCTGCAGGTGATGCCAAGGCGCTTAGTTAGACTTTTTTCTACGGCTGTCTATACAATATTGGTTGATGATCGCAGACTGTGAGCCAGTGCGTTATGTGTGACGATGTTAAATATTAATGTCTGGAGATGATTACTTGAGAGATGGAGAGAGGCAGGAGGTGTGATGGAGAGGATGACACCTCCCCATTCATCATGGGGACTTTAACAGAATCTAAATCCTTCCTGTGATTCTAACCTTCGTACTCCAGAGGGAAGAGGTGGAGAAAGAAAGTGGCATAAAAAGGGAGAGGCGGAGAGAGGAAGACGTGACACTGAGATATGGGCTGAGAATGGGAAAAGGGATAGATCTGACACTATTCAAGTTATGAGCAATATGTGAAAACGGGATGAACAAAATGTAAAGATGGATGGATGGATTCAAAGCAAGATTATGAGCTGTGATAGGAATAAAAAAAAAATAAGGGAAGTGATATGGTGAAAAATAGGCCTGCATAATGTTAAAAGTATAAAGCGCTTTTTTCTCAGCTGACCTGTCAGGGTATCCCATGTGACGCGCTGACGGATGTGCAGAAAGGAGCTCTTATCTTATTTTGTCATGGTCTGGCAGTCACTCAAGTTCTACTCAGCATAAATAAACAAGTGGGGAGGAAAATGGCAGCCATCTCCCCTTCTCTTCAAGGGTGTCATTTGATTCACATTTGTCACTTCCTCAAACTCTGTATTTTTCAGCTGAGCAAATAGGGACCGGACTCCCATTTGCCTGCTTAATGTCTCCTTGAATTATATAATCAAGCAGAACATTGGCTGAGGGAGATGGAGGAAATATATATAACAATGGCGCTCCCGAATAACTTTCATGCATCATACCATTAGAGCTCCAGAGGTGTGTTATTCATTTTTACTGCCCAGCACCCAAAACCAATCGTACAGTGGAAGAGGATTTGTTATTACTGTTGTGTTATTTTCTCTTTCTTTTTTTTGTTAGGAAATACTTGGCACTGCCAGTTTAACTTAATCTCTTCATCCATCCTTTTGTTTTGAATTAAACCTGCTCAATTTCCTTTTTTTTGGGTTTGTTTGTGGAATGTTTTGATTGTGAGAAATGTTTAGCTAATGTTTAGATCTGGTAGATCTGGATTTTTCATTCATTTTGTTGTGCTTTGCTTGATAAAACCTTGTTTTTTTCCACTCAACCTGCCTGACTGCTAATGCTAAATCAGTACAATATAAGTTAGATGAGTGAAGCCCCCAGAACGGTTGAGTTTACCAATGTCCTCTTGAATGAACTGGCAAAATAACTGTAGAAGAGTTATTTTTTTTGACTGCATTAAACCAAAAGAAGAAGTAAGGCTCCTTTTCCTTAAAATGTTTTTACAGTAAATGCCTTGAACAGGAGCTAACAACAAACTATAAATAGGATTTTAAATCTAATTAAAATCTGACAGGATCCTCTCGACTTGTAAATGCATAAATGTGTTGGTGCTGGATGACATTTTGTTTTCAAATTCATTACATGGCACCAAACAAGAGTCAAAAGGCAATAAACTGCAATAGAGATGAGGATTTGGAAGGTTTTTCATTGACCAACCCACATACATACTTAACTATGCTCTTCAAGTCACAAATGGAATTCCTTTACAAATGTGGCAGCATTTAGAAGAGAATAAATGGGCTTTGCAGTGGTTGATTTATTACTAAGAATTGATGTTACAACAAAGATCTATGAACCAAACAGAAATTTTCTTTACTTTTTGTGCAAAGTTTAGTTCTATAAAATAAACAGTTTTTACTTGGCACATTCAAGGAATGTCCTGAAGTTACATTTAGTAGATTTTGATATTCAGTTTCACTGTGCAATAATGTTTTATAAGCATTTTATATGTGAGTTGCCTGACTCAAGTTTTGTTAAGAGGCTTTCAAGGAATAGTGACAGTGAAAGCCTTGAAAAGTCTGTGGATGCTGCATAAAATAAGCTGTTTAATTTAATGAGTCACTGCTGAAAATCCAAAAAGTAATTGTCCTCCTCATTATGAATGAGAAATACATCAGAAAAAAAACTAATTATTGTTCAACTGATGTGATTACCTCTTCTAGAAGGGTCAGATTCACCTGCTGCTGAACGTGGCCTGGGTTTAATGTTTTACCCTTTTCTTTCTTTCTGTCTTAAATGTTTGTGCTGACAGGAGTACCAATCTTGCAACACTCTGCCGTGTCCAGACCTAAAAAAGACGACACCCTGGACTCCGTGGACCCCGGTCAATATTTCTGACAATGGAGGCCACTATGAGCAGCGTTTCCGCTACACCTGCAAAGCGCGGATCCCCGACCCAAGTCTCCTAGAAGTAGGAAGACAGAGGATTGAAATGCGCTATTGCTCCAGCGACGGGTCCACTGGCTGCTCCACTGACGGTGAGTGCAGGATAGAAACAGATGCCTGCTAAGCCCCTGGATATTTCCATTATCTAAAACCAACTTGCTCTTTGCCTCTTATTCTGGTTGTTGTCCTATTAATTTCCTTATTGTGTAAAGCTTTTGCATCTATAAAAGTCCTGAAAAAGTTAGATGAGACTTGAATAATTTGTCTCTTGTGTTTTGGATCCCATCCTTGGTGACATTATCTGTGGATCAAAGCAGGCAAGACATGCTAATGATGTTTCAATCCACAAAGCTCATCATTAGTTTATAGCTAACTTTAGCGCTTATACTTTTCCTGTTCACAAAAAACACACAGACAGGGACCGCTGAGACCAAATAATGGCATTCACTATACAAAAAAACTTTTTTCCCCCCTCAATTTCTGATCTTTCATACTAAACTCTGTTTTAAGTCAGCCATAGTGCTGTGAAAATCTATTAATTTGCAAAACCCTGATATATAGAGATGTTTTTTTTCTAGGAAATTATTTCAACCTTCAAACTCAGAAATTGAAATTGACTTGAAAACACATATAAACTATAACTTTGTCCAAACATTTTGATATTCGACAAGCTTTAACTAGTGACTAAAGTTTGTCAATCACCTTTATCAAACACTCCCAAGATTTGCATAAACAAATCAGTTTGTGATGAGCTTGTTGGGATGCAAGGGTCGCCTTCTGTTGGAAAGAACTGTTTGTCCTCAAGCTTTATTGACATGGCTTATGTCTTAGTTAGTAATTTAATATTTTCACAAAATCTTAATTATTCAACATCTAGGCTATTTTGTGTAAAAAATTAGTCTCTTTTGCAGAGAAACACCTCTAAAAATTAGTTATTAAAATGTTTTTTGTTTTCTAGCTTCATGATTGTCCCTCACATTCTAAATTAGACATTATTGCTAAAACCCAAACATTTATTTATAAGTTATTTTTACTCCACCAGCCATATCTCAAATACACTATATTGCCAAAAGTATTTGCTCACCCATCCAAATTATTGGAATCAGGTGTTCCAATCACTTCCATGGCCACAGGTGTATAAATTCAAGCACCTAGGCATGCAGACTGTTTTTACAAACATTTGTGAAAGAATGGGTCGCTCTCAGGAGCTCAGTGAATTCCAGCGTGGAACTGTGATAGGATGCCACCTGTGCAACAAATCCAGTCGTGAAATTTCCTCGCTCCTAAATATTCCACAGTCAACTGTCAGCTGTATTATAAGAAAATGGAAGTGTTTGGGAACGACAGCAACTCAGCCACGAAGTGGTAGGCCACGTAAACTGACGGAGCGGGGTCAGCGGATGCTGACGCGCATAGTGCGAAGAGGTCGCCAACTTTCTGCAGAGTCAATCACTACAGACCTCCAAACTTCATGTGGCCTTCAGATTAGCTCAAGAACAGTGCGCAGAGAGCTTCATGGAATGGGTTTCCATGGTCGAGCAGCTGCATCCAAGCCATACATCACCAAGTGCAATGCAAAGCGTCGGATGCGGTGGTGTAAAGCACGCCGCCACTGGACTCTAGAGCAGTGGAGACGCGTTCTCTGGAGTGACGAATCGCGCTTCTCCATCTGGCAATCTGATGGACGGGTCTGGGTTTGGCGGTTGCCAGGAGAACGGTACTTGTCTGACTGCATTGTGCCAAGTGTAAAGTTTGGTGGAGGGGGGATTATGGTGTGGGGTTGTTTTTCAGGAGCTGGGCTTGGCCCCTTAGTTCCAGTGAAAGGAACTCTGAATGCTTCAGCATACCAAGACATTTTGGACAATTCCATGCTCCCAACTTTGTGGGAACAGTTTGGAGCTGGCCCCTTCCTCTTCCAACATGACTGTGCACCAGTGCACAAAGCAAGGTCCATAAAGACATGGATGACAGAGTCTGGTGTGGATGAACTTGACTGGCCTGCACAGAGTCCTGACCTCAACCCGATAGAACACCTTTGGGATGAATTAGAGCGGAGACTGAGAGCCAGGCCTTCTCGTCCAACATCAGTGTGCGACCTCACAAATGCGCTTCTGGAAGAATGGTCAAAAATTCCCATAAACACACTCCTAAACCTTGTGGACAGCCTTCCCAGAAGAGTTGAAGCTGTTCTAGCTGCAAAGGGTGGACCGACGTCATATTGAACCCTATGGATTAGGAACGGGATGTCACTTAAGCTCATATGTGAGTCAAGGCAGGTGAGCAAATACTTTTGGCAATATAGTGTATGTTATAAAATACATCTGCAGATTGTAAGCAAATTGAAATTGACTATTGTTTTCTTGATTGCTTGCAAATAATTATTCATTTCTCTCTGAGAAGCCTTTCCACGCATGTCTGAATAAGATCTGTTTTACTGTGGATAATGAGACTCTCTTCAAAAATTATTTTTTGTTTTTGTTTTAGGATAGATATATTTTTTCAACAAAACATGTTTATCTCTGCGCACAGCGCTCCTCACCTTTTTAAACAATATAGTGGTTTTACATTCTGAGGATATTTAGTTAGGCCTACCTATAACTGTTAAAACAGTATGCATGCAGCAGCTTTAGACATCTGCAAATAATAATGAGAAAGAATAAACCATAATCGATGGAGGTTTAGAATTCTATTCCTGATAAGTTAGTATCTTAATTTAGATTTTTTTTATGAAGTCACTCATGGAGGGGATGTCTTTTAGGTGTTGGCTAACAATATATCCTGTGGTGCGCCCTGATTTGACTAAGAAGTGGTGAATTAAAATCACAAGCTTTTAAAACATTGATATATCATCCCGAGCTTTCAGAAATGTGTTCAAGGCAACCTAATCTCAGTATTTAAACATCCCTAATTTTGATCGAAAAAGTTAATTCCTCTCAAATTACCTATTTTTAATTTTTGGATATTTTAGGTGATGAATGACCGACTTTCCTGCACTGGTTTAAACTAGTTTAATATGAAATAGTGATAAAGTTTTCTTCTTATTTGCGCTTTTCAGCAAGTTATGTAAATATCTAGTTTAAACTGTAAAACTGTGAGCAGTAAACTTACTTTTTCTCTTTTGACCCATCGTGCAGCTGTTCTATTTGCACCTCACATTCAGCAGCACCCTGGGCTCTTTCACACATCTAAATGTTTGCTAATTGACAACTTGTTTATGTGCTTAGATGAGGTATTTGTATCATATACAAAGTACCGCACAGAACCATAAAATAAGTTTAAAAAGAAGCTGCAGCAGTTAAAGCTTGTTTACGATGTTGCTCTAGGCCTCTGCGGGGGAAAAAAGTGCCTTTTTACAGATTCAGATATAGTAACGCCTTGGTAAGCTTTAGTGGTGGCCTCCCTTCATTTTGACTTCGTTTTCATCTCTGGGTGGCCAACATGACCACACACGCTGCTGCAATCACAGAGGTTATCTTTAATGCTCCCTATCGCTAGGGTTGATCTTTTTGATCTTCCTCATCTCCCTTATTTCTTGTTGCTAATCGCCAGCTTTGCGTCGGAGCTGCTGAAGGAACAAGTTGTTCTGCTCCTGCTTTGAAACCAGCGCTTAAATGTTTCTGAAGGGTTTTAAATGAGCACTGACAAGCGTAGAGTAAACCTGACTGCAGAAACAAAGTTTCACAAGGAGTGACAGCCGCACACATTGGATATTTACAGAATAAAGAGTTGAGCTTTAATAGGTTTGTCTTGAGTGGGATTAGTGGGAGGTGGTATGCGTTTCATCATAGGTTGTCACCAATAGTCTGGCATTAGATTAGCCTCAGAGTTAATTACAGTAATGAAAAAGCAAAAGACTCTCTGCTCAGTTGTCTCTGTTGGTACTTTTGTATTTGAAAGTAAAAAGGTTTTAGCCCCATGGGTAGCAGTGGGCTCTTTGTTCAACTTTTTCACATTGGTTACATTACAACTAGAAACTTCACTATCACAGATCAACATGAAGTAGCAGATTAATAAGATGTTAAAGGGAAAACATATTCTATATTTTCCTATTTTCTTAATCTGAAAGGCGCTGATTGGTATTCAGACCCCTTTACTCTGATACACTAAAGTGAAATGCAGTATAGCCAGTTCCCTTTCAAATAAACCATACTTAAAGTCTGCCTGTTTTTTTTGTTTTTTGTTTTTTTTTCGTTCCTCAGAATTTTTTTAACCCTTTATAGGGCACTCAGTGAAATACTTTGAAAATCAAAATTTCAAGCCAATAATGTTACTGGAATCCAGGACAAGACCTTATTACCTTTGTAACATTCAAAATATATGGATATTTTGATGGCAAAAATTTATGTCAATGTAATAACAACAAACGCCAACTTGCCCGAATATGATAAAAAAAAAAAAAAATGTGCTTCAATAACAAATTCATGAGAAACACTCTGAGAGCGATTTGTAAGGGGTATGCAACTGAACAAAAACAATAACCTGCCCTAAAAAGGGTTAACTTGGGGAGGAATGGATAAACAAGATGCCGATTTTTCACACACAAATAAACAAGTGACTGAAAAGAATTATGAAAAAGAAAGGCAACAGAGAAAGAAAGTAGAAACAAATTTAAATTATAACATTTAACAGTTTTATATCTTTTAGAAAGAGGTCAAAAAGGTGGATTCCATCTCATGGTTTCACTCTGAATCTAAAAATATGCAAGAAACAGAATTAGATGAATATCTGCATTAAGTATAAATGCCTGCAGAGCACTTGTTCAGGCTTGTGCTCTATGCACTACACCCCAAAAGCCTGATTACAATTCAGCTTTTAAGCGAAAATTTGTGCAGCACACAGCATTGTTTGGATTGGATACAAACAATATAAAACAAAACACTGAAAGAATTCTTATTTTGAAGCCAGTTTATTTAGTTTGTCGCTGACAATCACAAACTTTCAATATGAAAGCTGCACAATCGTTTACACATGAGGACCCTGGGCTCTGTGGAATAGAATAAAACTATTAAGACATCATAAAACACAGACAACATTTGTAAAAGGACTCTCTAGTCATCTGAGGCTGTAATTTATTTTGAACATACAATGTAGA